CAACCTGGTTTCGAAACCTCGGCAGACAACCATGTTTGCTTTATTCACTAAGAGCATCAATCATTGTATTAAATTATGTGATGAACCAAATCTGGTCAGTCCAGACAATGATCTGATTGAGTCCCTATGTTGGGCCTCCAGAAACTTGGATAATGATCTCACCATGAAGAAAAAGGTGACATCTTGGATTCTCGGCATTAAATGTGAAAGACAGGTGAGACAATGTTGAGCTTACTCAAAATGGGCTCATCAATAAAGTCTATCGAATATACGGTATGTTTGACGCTAGCAAGAAAGCTTTCTCCTGCCGCCACACGGATTTTTTGCCTAATCCTCTCGGGGGAAAAAGGCTGGGACCAAAAACCTTGGGTGGCCCCATTTAAAGAAGAGTGGAGCTATCCAGCTGCAGTTGGGATGCTGTTTTATATTGCGATCGAACATTCGCCCAGACATCACATTATAGTGTTCACCAAGGTGCAAACGATTCAGTCCACTCCAGCATTACCCCATGCTCAAGGCAATCACAACGTATCATCCGGATTTGATTGGCACATAGTGACAAAGGCATTTGTTTTAGCCCTAAACTTGATCAGGACTTGACTGTCGGGTGATGCTAGACGTTCGCCGGATTTATGGATATGAGGATGAAAAGGTCCTGTTTCCGTCAAGTACTCGCACTTGATTTTTCCTGACTTCTGTTTGTGTGTCCCTATCATTCTGGTCTAGCAAGCTACAGACTGATATTACTTTGAGCTCCACTGTGCTGAGTATGTTGCCTTCAGCATGTCAATGAGGGAGCTGCTTCCTATGCGAGCTTTGCTCAAAGAAATTGTAGCAAACTAATATGCCGTAATTACTGACAGTCTCGTGCGCTCTACAGTGTTCGAAGACAACCAAGGTTGCTTGTCTCTTTTGAATGTTCCCAAAATGTCTGCGCGCAACAAGTATTTGGCATTAAGTACCACTTCTTCAGGTCCAATATCGGGGAGTCGAAGGGCATCGTGGCTAAGTATATTCCAACTCTGGAACAAGGGCCGACATTTTTACTAAAGGTCTTCCGGCTCCACAGTTTGCTGTCATTCGGAAGCTCCTCATGGGATGGTAATTACCTCAGCACTTTGCTGGGGACTCTCTCCTATCGTTCTTGCTCCAGCTTCATTCAGCTGTAAGGGAGTGCGACAGGGATACAGCTTACAATTCAGCTTTACAGCTTTATCATTAGCAGGCTTATTCTAGAAAATAATCAATAACTGCTCACTTATTTGGAAATACAAAGTTTACATCTCTTAGATCGTTAGATTAATCAATCCACAATGGTATTGTCGCACACATCCCTTTCCTCTTCAGCGTCGATTATGCAGGAGAGTAGCACTGCTTCTGTCGACACTGTTGGCGAGCTTGCGTCTTCCTTGGAGATGAAGTCGCGCTGTTTGTTGCCTCTGGCAACCGCTCGGCCTTTGATCTTCCCATTCCTTTTCAACTTTAGGAACAGGTGTGACTCTACGATACTCTTGCGTTCCTTTTCGCTTAGTTCTTCCATTTTCTTAGGACGGAAGGTGTCCCTGAGATGTAACTGTTTCATCTCGGCATAGGCTGCATCGTGTGCCTTGTCCTTCCATTCCTTGAGTCCAGATTTCAATGACAACTGTGTCATGATGGCTGCTACCACATCAGGTGCTTCCTCTACCTGTGTGTGAAATATGTGTGCATCTGGGTTCAACACACGTTCATTTGTATGGACGTTGGTCGTCTCCTACTTCTTTCCGGAGAAGCTAGGAATATACAATTCCTTTGCTTGTGTCCTCACCCTACTGGACCTGCGCACTCCTGGCGTATGCTCAGGTGCCGCTTGGGCTGGAACGTCCACTCCTGGGGTCGTTCCATGGGCTGTTGGTCTGTTGTAGGTTCCAGTTCCTCTACCGTCTCAACGATAGGCTGATTGGCCAGTTCGATGGTCGGTTCGAAGGTCGGTTCGACGATCGGTTCGGCATTCGGTTCAACGCCTATTTCATTCAGTTGGTCGTTGACTGATGCTTCGTCGTCGCTGTCCTGGTGTTTGTCGGGATCATCTTCCATTTCGTCAATGGTTCGGCGTCCAGGTCTTCATCATTTTGGAGCATAGGTTGTGGTTGTGGGGGTATGTTAGTGCCCTCTTCCCCGTCCACTCCTGTGATCTCGACATCACCTATAGGTCTATTCTTTCGGTCAGTAAAAACGACTAGTTTAGGCTGATCCTTTCCTAATAGATTGACTCTAGCTATCACTGTGTCGGGCATGGGGATCTTGTCCCACGAATGCCTAGTAAATTTCTTGCCAGAGCGGAGGCTCATAAACTTGTAACCTCCTTGTTTGTTTCCGCTCGTTCCCATACAGATGGCCGCTTTCGTGCGTCCAACCATGCTGTTACGGGGCGAGTCTTCCTCATGCACCTGGCAGTAATCTCCAAACTGCAGTCTCAGGTGCTTTTTATAGTCCAGGGACTCTCCTTTCATTATCATTCGGGGGCTCATTGTCTCGCTGATCCCAGCTTTGCTTGTACAGATTGAATCATCAAACCCTTTGCCCCCCGTAATGGTCCTCAATTTCTTGCCCCTGATCCCACAGAACCTCGTCCTGAATTTCGACTGTTCTTTGCTTAAGCCTGGCCCCAGCTGGCTTCCGTGGATAATTTCCCTACTCTAAACCCCCTTATATATATCATTCTTGTGATACTTGATTGCTAGGTAGGATGTGATACCGGTACCATAGGGGTCTGCAGCTGTGATCATTCAAATCGCTCTGACGGCTTCTTTTATTTTGGCTTTAACCCAAATGAATGTTTCCTTTTTAAAAAAGGATGGGGCGAAAAGAGGGCGGAACAAGCAAAGACCAGGCATTCAGCTCCGGACCGCGATCGAGTTCGACTGCACCAAGTGGGACCGCCCATACTCAGTGGTGCGTGGCTACGTAAATGCTCGGCTCAGCCTTGTTATTCTTCGGGCCCGCCACCAATGCGCGGCTCTTGTGTCCCCGCTGGCACTATAAGCTCTCTCTGGGATGCCGATGGTGCACTTGCGCTCTTCCGCTAATCTTGCCCCCATTTTCCTCCCTCTATCACCCCGATCCTTCTTCCTTTTGCTCCACGCATTCCCCTTCCCCCTATAATAGCCCACCTTTTGCCCTGCTCCTGTCCTAGCTTTTCTCCCAGTCCCACCCCAACCGCTGCCACCGCTTTGCCTCGCTCCCCCCCCACTCCTTAATGTATCTATTTAGTATTTGTTTCCCTTCCAAAATAAGCGCGGCGCCTCACAAAAACGCCATCTACAAGCAGCTGCATCCGGAACATCTTGCATAGGCTGATGATTGTCTGCCCAGACAAGCCAGTCTGTTAATTGTTGTGCTGCTGTTGTCAATGACTGGGATGACAGTGAAAAAGCGTTATACCCAGGAGACCCATGGCACATGGCGCCAACCCACCGGCAGCCATGCACAAGTTGAGGTACATCGTCGCAATGGTTCTCCTGTAAGAGCAACCACTTGAGTGCCGGGGAATCTCAGCATTACGCCGAATTGTTCATGACACGGCACTCCACGTTTTGCTTGCCCCAAGCCAAGATTCTTTACTTGCCCCCAAGCCAAGATTCTTTACAACGCCTTGCTTCTGCCAACAAAACTACTCTTGATCGCCAAAAGCCTCTACCGGTACTGCACATGCATGGGTCAAGCCATGGGCCGTTTCAGGATGACAACGGTGTCATTGGTTCTTCGAAGATTTCCCTGGCACGCATTCTCACAAAAGAGAAAGGCTGTCCTAAGCTGGAACTGTCGAGCTCAGTTGTACCGGAGTCCGCATGATGAACTCGACTCCGTGTTTGCGGGTCACTCAACACGCACCGTGGGGCTGCACTGGTGTCCATCGTTTGGAAACGAAGCCGGTCACTCACTCAAAGCAAAAGTTGCAGTTGGGAATTCTAACAATATGCGTATGGACACAGTCAGTCAACCATTGGCCTCGTCGTTGAACTCTTCCTCACGACTGTCGCTGCGCACGGCAGCTGATGAAGTCGGCAGGGAGACCTGCCAGATTCTCGGCACTGCTGAATGGAAATCTAAAAGTCTCTTTTGTTACAGTGTGCCCTGTCCCGCGTGGACGCCCGCTTTTGCCTAGTATGGTACTTGCAGCCGAAGGGGGAAGACCTATGCAACGATTGAGAGCGGCAATAGCTATTAGTCCACAGCACGAAGCAATAATGTTGACATGAGCCAGTGCATGAAGAGTGCGCGCCCGATTATTAAGTGCATCATTGATCAGTGGACTATTGGTACTGTCACTACACTGTCACTACACTGTCACTCGAGCTGAAGGCTCCCCGTCGTTTTAATTTATTTCATTTCATTTCATTGGGCTCAGTGACGCACATGCATGCATAGACGTCAGTCATCGCACTGAAGTCATTTGCACACACGCAGCATGGGAGCTACTGGCTGAATCAACCAACAGCAGCCATCTATTTAGTATCACATTACAAGCGCAGAGCAAGAGCAAGTGCAGTCATTCACCTGACTATACTATCCCGTGGCTATCTATTACATATAGCTAGCTAGCAATATATAAGAAGAGATCGCCATGAACGAGGTGGAAGACGGACAACAAGATGACACAGTCGACGTGGTACGTGATGTTCTCCTTAAGAGAGCAGAGGCCGAAGCTGCTCAAATCGAAGCTGAAGAATGCTGTAAAGAAGACTTGGAAACGGACACTGTTGTTTTGGATATTCTTACCGAGCGGCCCGCTTTGGAAGCTGCACAGTTTGAAAAGGATGAAGAAACTGCCACGAGCAGAGATTTGAAATTGAAGAGCCTTAATCTCAGCCAAAGCAAAAAGCCAGAAAAGGAAAAGTTCCTGAACATGTCGGCTGGTTTGGCAGTTGCAAAAAAAGATCTCCATCAAGACACCAGTGAGACCAGAGAAGAAGAAATCATGGAAATTGTGGCAGGTCAGGTCAGTTTGGCAGTCGCTCAACGTCTTAGTAATGCCAAACAAGATCTCCATAATAAAGAAAAACCAAGCACGTATACTGACGAAAACAACCTTATGGAAATAGCCGCAGAAATCAATGAAGCTTCCAAGCTGGGAAAATTTGCCAATGCCGCGAACAATCCATCCAACAAACAAGAAACTGCGCTTGGGAGGGAACAACTCAATAGTGTACCAGCAACAGAGGCTGTCCCACAACCTGCCTTGCGCCCAAGTACACAGATGCGTCCTCAATCTCAGCCAGGTGCATTCCCGAATGCACCAGGAGGACAGATGCAACGAAACCCCAACTTAAACTATGGCCTTGTTGGTGCTAATTCGGGCACTGCCAGTGATCCAGAAGATGCCAGTGTTGGTATGGCAGGACAGATATCGACAAATGAAGGTTTGGTACAAGCTAATGCTGTAGAGGATGATACGGCCGAATTGATGCATGCCAATCCGGTCGATCTTGAAGCCACCCAGCATCGGGCACTTCAAAAGAAGCAGCAACAGAAAACTTTCTTTGCAGCAGCTCTTTGGTTGTTGCTGGTTGTTGCCATTATTGTGGGATTTGTGGTGGGAACCCAAAAGAACAAGGAGCCAAAAGTGGTTGTCCTTGAGTCAACGGAGGCTCCAACAGTTTATGGCTCCATGCAACCCTCTGAGGTCCCGTCCATGGCTCCCACTGGTTCTCTGAACGTGCTGTTGGATAGCCTACCCGAATATACTTTGGCCAGCATCAACAATGGTAGTGAGACGCCTCAGTGGAAAGCATGGTGGTGGCTAGCCAATCACCAAAACATCACATTTCTTCCAGAATGGAGAAAGACACAACTATTCGCCCTTGCAACATTCTTTTTCTCCTTTGAGGGAGAAAGTTGGAATCATTTAATCAAGGATCGATGGATGGATGACACAGTTGAAGAGTGTGACTGGTTCTCCAGTGGGTTTGGGCTTTTCATTGATGAGACATATGTTGAATTTCAAAATCTCTTTGTTTTTGTGTCATTCCCAGTCACTCCCCCCTGCGATAGCCAAGGACAATTCACATCGCTTGATTTGCAAGACCTGCAGCTCTCTGGTTTCCACCCATCTGTGCCACCAGAGATTGCACTGTTGACTTCCTTATCACATCTAGCCTTGCAGAGCAATGGCATCGCTGTTCCATTTCCGTCTCTGCTGCCAGCAGAATTTTACAGCTGCACTTCTTTGACCTCCGTGGAGTTGGCTGCGAACCTGTTGTCGGGCCAAATGCCCACTGAGTTTGGACTCATGACATTATTGGAAATGCTTAAGCTCAATGACAATCAGTTAACTGGGGAAATTGCCTCTGAGCTTGGGTTCATGATCTCATTGGACAGTCTTGAATTGCATCATAATGACCTGACCAGTGCACTGCCTTCTGAGGTTGGAAAGTTGACTGCTTTGGAGTGGCTGAATTTGGGATACAATGAATTGGCAGGCCAACTGCCTTCTGAGCTTGGGCTCCTGACCTTATTGATCCAACTAAAGCTTCATGATAATCAGCTTACCGGTTCACTGCATTCCGAGTTTGGAATCCTGACCTCATTGAAGTACATCGACCTTTTTCGAAATCAGTTCACTGGTGCACTGCCTTCGGAGCTCAGCCTCGTGACCTCATTGGAAGAGCTTCGCCTTTATGACAATCAATTCACCAGCACAATCCCAATGGAAGTTGCCATGATGACATCTTTGACATCTTTGGGCCTTCACAATAATGACCTGACAGGAACACTGCCCAGTCAACTGAATGCATCTATGGGATTGAGACTATATGGGAATCAGTTCTTAGGGAGTGTTCCAAGCCATCTTTGTTCTTTTCTATTTTGTGATTGTTCCCTAAATGAAACTCCTCCTGTTTCCACCTGTGCTGACCTAAAAGAAGCTCCACCGGATTGGCCTGGACGATTTCCAACCACAGGTTCTGATGTCATGCTGAACATCTACACTGATTATTTTCCAGAAGAAACATCATGGGTTTGGCAGAAGGAAACAAATGTGACAGGTACTTGGGACACATTGTAATCAGGTGGTCCACTGGAGTTTAGATATCTTCTTTATGCTAATCTGTTCCCGGTCAGCCCTGACGCAGCCTACAGATTGATTTTATCGGACAGCTTGGGTGACTGGATGGTCTCTGGTTGGATGACTCTGACAGGAACCAACCAAACAGTGTTGTATTCTTTGCCAGCTGTGGAGGCATTCTTTGAAATCATCATTGACGTTTTAGTTGGAGCAGATGGATCTTTTGAGATCACCAATTCTTAGCTCTGTAATTCTAAGTTGCATATTTCTATCCGAAGATAACTGGTGGAACCTAGAAGTTGGAAGTTCAACAACGAGCTCATGATTTGTGGTGAATCATTGCTCGGACCTCAGTGTCTAAACCCTTAGATAGCTAATAATAGGCGTCACACCCTCTCAAGAGGCCAGTGTGGCTGGTGACCAGACTTGACTGTGGGAAATACCCGGGCCTTGGCTCGTGGGTCGTCCTCAAGCACATCTTGTCTGAATCCATTAATAGACGTTTCAGTATGCAAAAAAACAACAACTCAAAGAACACTTTCGGTATGCCGGGGTGTTGCTTCTTTGAATTATCAGTTGACAGTCTTTTATGATTTTTGCAGACCATTTTGTTGAAAACTTTTGTGCACACCACACCGCACCGAACGAATTAAAAGCATCCTGCATTCAAGGAATGCGATATACACTATCTATGGTTCCTTTCTCTACCACTCTGTGACTTCTTGTTCTTTCTGATCACCTGCCTGGAAGAGGCGAAAGTTGACATTACCGGGCCCTGAATGTCATTTTTGGTGGTGATGAATCCTTTCTTCCTCGTGGCCTGCATTTGCTGATTTTTTGACCTTCTCATGACGGTCCTTGCTAGGATCGTCCACATAGTAGGATAGTGGCTCAGCTTGGCATCTACAAACTCTAAGGGCCCACCACACAGTCGGCACATCAACCAAATCGGTCTACGAGCATCACCATGAGAGCTGATTTGATTGGAATCAATTGAGACCAAACCAAGCACTGACTGGTCAGTCAAATATGATAACAGGGATTTACAGTGGGTGCATGCATCATCGACAAATACACTGCATCTTACTCCTGTGCTCCTCGCTGCCCCCCACCTTGCATTCCTTTCTTCTTTGGCTCTGCTCCTGCCCTGCTCACTCCATCGATTGTTTGGCTCAAGCGTTCCTGCATCTTACTTTCCGATGAGATTTCGGGAGGTCTTTTTCACTGAGAATCTCCTCTCTGGATATTTTCCTCTGATGTCAGCTGGTAGTTAGGCAGTAAGGGAGCCTCAACTGGCCTTTCTCAGCAGGAGGATGACTCTCAGTCAAGAACTTGGCCAGCGCCAGGTTGGGAGATCCCTGGTTGGTGAGATTCTCCCTTCACTGGGCTATCAAGGCCAGCTCCTCAGAGCTGGCTGTCAATGCTATTCAACCACTACTATTGGAATGGTTGAATCACTGTTGTTTACCCTAGCATAGGCCACACAGGAACTGTCAACTGTGAGACTACTGGTATGCTACTGGGTCTCAGGTACTTCACTATTTCATTATTCTCAACTATGGGAGGACGATGGGTGGATATCCATCTCTCCAAGCAATAAGTCAGCAAGCTGCATTTGCACTGCTGCTACGAATCTAGAGCTCTTGCCCTGTAATTTATAGCTCCCCACAAGGGCAAATGCAATACACGGCTCTTAGCCTTATTCGCGACTCGATCCTAGATAGGGTTTGAGTTCGACTCATGACTGAGTCTCTCGTGAATAGTCATTGAGACAGGGTTCTCAATGACCGCTCTAGTCATACTAGGTTGATGATGAAACATCGCTCTAGATATTTAGCCAGCGTGGAGTACTTCCACGCTACTAGATAAATGCTAGACGATTCTTCCACGCGTTTCGTTTTTGGATCGTGGAGTGAGTAGGATTGCTACCGCAACCTACTCTATCACACTCTACAGTCTCCCGCGGGAGTTCAGATCTACGATCCTTTGGTTGTGGATCTCTCTCGTTGATTTTTCATAGCTTTCTAATCCTCTCATAATTTCATTCTCTCAAACTCAAAACACTCGAAAGATCTTTACACTGCTTTTAGCGTAGTCATTTTGTTAACAAACACAATAGCTTTCAGCTACCCTCAACCTATTCCTCACCATGAAGATTGCCAAGACGCTTACACCAGCTTCGAGTCTAAGCTGCGCGACAAACCAATCCTTCCTCTCATCGACCTCGACGATGAATGCGAAATCGACGATTCTCGCTCTACACACCTACAAATTCGCACTGTTCAGCAGATGCTAACAGCGCCAAGTACACCTTCAAGTCCAAATCATCAAGGATCTGAGACTCCACGTCAGACCATCAAGTGGCTGACGATGGAGAAGGTCTTTCGGGCTCGCCATTGCTATGCCTACTGACAAACATAACCTCCTCAAGGATGACTTCTAGCTCTGCAAGAGCAGTTACGAATCTAGCTTGGCAGGCCACCGTGAATACGTTGGAATGCTTGCGCCAGATTGCAGTCAACGATTCTCCAGCGACATGTGTGGTGAAGACGAAGCCACTTTCCAAGTACGTTTCCAGCTGCTGGAACGGAGCAGCTCAGCCTGCTTGGACGACACTGATTAGTTTGGCATAAATGCCTTGTCGAAGCGGTCTGTCCCTACAAAGGCTCTTGAAAAGCAGAGACGCTTCATGCGCCGCAAGATCGTAAGCCTGCTGATATGATACTCGGGCTTTATGTCAAAAACCCAGTCTGATGAACATCGATGAACTTCCTGTCTACCACATTTTGGACCACAACCAAACGTTAACCATTACGAAGTCATTGACAATGTTTGTCATGGAATTCCACGCTTCGTGGATGAAGAGATGGAAGACACACGACTTCGATCCTTCTAGCTCCTATCGGGAGAACCAATTGGATTCTGCGAACGCTGGAATCCTCCGACAGACTATAGACAAGGGCGGTGATACAAGCAAGCACCTCCGAAGAACGGCAAGAAGTCAAGTCTACATCGCACACACGTCACTCTTCCAGCGACGAGAAATGGTGGACTACCCGAGTCCCGCACTCAAACACTGGCTGACTGCTGATCTGAGAAGCTCAGGCCAAGTCTAGTCTCGTCTGACAAACCAAGCCAGCGACAACAAGAACAGACTTGGAAACGCCAGTGAGACCAGCCTTACCAAGAGGACTCTCTGTCTCATGAAGAAGTTTCAACGCTGCGGTCGGCTGATCGCAAGAAAAGCGAATGCACATGTTGCCAGCTCAAGTCGACAATCGAAAGAGGACGACTCCTCTGTTGTCTCCATACACATGATGGACAAGAAAATGGCTGCCGTTGACAAGGCACTTGACCGAATTCGACTTCATCATTCGGACGGAGAGATCTCCGTCTTGTGATTAGGCCAAGATGATGAATCAACGGAAACATGTTCCGATTTCTCATACTAAAGTGATTGAAGAATATCTCACTAAATAGTAAACAAGATATTGGTTTGCAACTAACGCAAGTTACGGCAAATTAGTATGCCTAGCAATTACTAACTAGACACTGACATTGTTCAGCATGTTACTGTCGTCTGGGCTCAAATCAAGTCGACGTCGCAAACAAGAGACCTGCGAACTATGTCTATGTTAGATTTACAGACGGGAGGGAAACGTAAAACCCGTTACACTCTGTTGCTTAAGGATACAGAGCATCCGGATTTATCTACTCAAATCTGCTAGAGTTATCTGAGATATGGGGGCGTCAAAAATCGGTGCTTCTTGAGTTGAAACCCCGCAACGAGTGAAGGGCATCGTGATTCCTGGTTCCACGATGGACGAATTATCGATGGATTACACGTCCAAAATCGGGGGCCAAGACTGATCATAGGTCAAGACACTCTCTGCGAACCTAGAATCAAGTTTGATTTCCATCCATGTCTTGGAGTGACCAGCTGATTTTCCCCTGGAAAGATGCCAATACCGATGGAGAAAGGAAACTTCTCCATTCTCGATCCTGCAGCCTGTCAGCACAGTGCAGATAGTCTCAAAGAAGACTCTTGATACGACATACGAACAAATAGACTTAAGGCAGATGTGCCAGTCGAACCCGTTACAATAAGGAAGAGCAAGAACTGCTTCATGCCTTCTCAACCAAGAGCTTCGACCCAGTCGAGGGTATTTGGGAGAAGTGCGAATGGACGACTACGAATTAGAACTTCGTCCCGACGCTAAAACCTATTCGCACCAACTTTTTATCATTCCCAAGAAAGAGGGATCTGTATGATTCATCTCTGATTCGGGAACGAACAAAAGGATCAGCGAAGCCTTTCCTAGCCCCAAATACGGACTGCTCTTAACCTAGATGGATTAAGTGCGCTACTAGTCTAGACTAAACACGGGAACTACCACACGAGCTGTCAACTCACTCGAAGTACCTGTACATGCACTCCAGAGGGGAAGCCGAGTAACAGGAGGTTGCCCTGGGTAGTATGTAATAGTCCGATCTTTCCAGAGATGAAAAGACGCATCATGACTTACGAATGTCCGTGATACTTTGTGATCAATTCCTAACTGACGTCGATCTAACGGATTGCGTTGAAATAGTTAGATGACTTTTCCAAAGACTTCAAAGAGTCGGATTTAAATTACCTCCAGGCTTCCTGACAGAGAACTGAGTTCTAGACAATTGGACTCTCGAGAAGGAATACACCCTTATACTAAGATATAGAGCGATCACTATCGCTCTTCGACAACAGGAGAACTTCGTGGATTCATTGGCCATAATACCAAGGCTGCTCAAGAAGAGACGAGTCAACCATCGTTCTAACAAGACGTGGGTTACAGTATCCATGACGGTGTCATGGAAGAGAACGTGAGTCCCTGCGCAGAGGTCAGAAGACTCTCGATGCTGGACTTCGTCGGAGTTCACGCGCGTATCTACAGTCACCCTCATCGTTCAAAGCAACCGGTATACATTAAGGCAACGTCGCCCAAATTATCCAGAACAAACAC